CGCTTCTTCCAACTTAAAAAAGCTCTTAGGCCAAGACAAGTATCGCCCCCTTGCTTTTCTGGGATTGGAGAAGGTGCCTGTGTTTGTTGTTTATTTTGTCACAAGCACATTGTCTTTTTTGGGAGGAGAGCTGAGAGGGACAGTTTTTGATTTTTTTTTCTCGCTCTGACTTGTAGTTAAAGCTCCTACTAAAAACGCCCGGCTGCGTGAGCAGCACGAGGAGGAGGGAGGGGTGCGCTCGTAATTGACCTGTAAGTCTCTTTTCCAAGAATGGGGAGAGGGGTGAGAAGAAAGGCAGAAATTAAGCAGGATGGATGAGGAGCCGCTTCTTTAGCTCCCACCGTAACTCACCTGCTGTTCTGGGCTCCGGGCTGGATGGGCACCATGTTTAGGACTTCCCCCAGAAGTGGGCTCATGGCAGAGGGGTCAGAGGAGAACTAGGGAGCTAGAGGACTGTGACACCTGAAGGCTGACTTTTGCCACAGCTTGCTCATTTCCTCCCTAACAGAACAAACAAGCTGTGTTACCCTTCCACGAAGGTATGGAAGTCTCTCATGCTTTCACTGCATCTGCTTCACCCAAGTTGCTGCTCTCGGGGGTTCCAGCTGCCATGAAGTAGCCCCTATGCTTGGAGGACATCCTTTACTGCCACTTTCATGGGGTCCCTTCTCAGCCACTTCTCAAACCGCTTCCCAGGGGTTTGCCTTCTAGGCTGTGGTTTGGTACCTCCATGGCTGTAGAAGAAAATGACAGTGGGCCACCTGGGAAAAGCCAGGGGGACCACAGAGAGGGAGGGAGGGAGGCAAGTGACTTAGCTCACTCTGAGCCCGTGCCTTCCTGTGGGGCTCAAATGTTGCCCTCAGTTGTGGGGGAGAGAGAGAAAGCAAGCCAGTCAGCCTGGTGTGGCCAAGGTACTTCATTCCCCAACAACCTCATTGCTGCCTCCTAGTGAAAGTTTTACAACTGAATGAAGACAAGTTGCTGGGCAGGATGGTGCAGGACAGGGTAAGAAATTGAATGTGCACAGCCCCGAAAACTTTTTGGACTCTTAGTTTCTGGTTAGCAGTATCTGATCACAGGCCCACAACCCACAAGCCTGACGCAGGCTCCCACTGCCAGGAGTGAGTGCTCCCCACCAGCAGCTGACCCCAGGAAGCCCAACTTGCAGTTTTCTTTCAAGGCATTTTTCCTTTACTCTTTACTCCCATGCTCTCTTTCCTTTATCTTGGTATTTTTCAGTTTCAGATAAAAAAAGGCTGAAGAACAGACAAATGACACTCTATCAACTCAAACATAAGCACTGAGAAATGAAGCTGGATTTACACTTTTGGCTCAGAAGAGAGAAAACCCCCACGAAAAGTTTACCTGGAGAAAAGTCAAGCAGATGCAGGTCAGAGGTGGTCAGGCTGGATCATAACAGCGCTCAGCAGCCTCCCTTTCCTGCACCTATTAACAGGGGTACCCCCTGGTTGTGCAGGATTTAGGCCAAGACTATTGATCCCCTAAAGTTGAAATTGAAAACCAAATCACTCCTATTTTGAAGTGTGTGAAATGCTACTTAGTATACAAACAAGCACCTAAACAGCCATTTTCTTCTAAAGTGTAGAAAACACCTTTGTTTGAAACACAGTTCAACATTTTTTGGCTTAAGAACTTTCCATTTTGGTTCATGTAATTTCACCCAACAGGCAGTATTGCACAAGTTATGAAACTGTCTCCAAGGGGACATATGTGGATTTTATTTTTACTAGTTATTGCACAAAGAAATATACATCTCAGTCAAATATACAAACATTTCCTTCCATGGTAATAATTTGTCACAATAGATTTTTGAACTTAAATTTGCAAACAGTATATAATATTTTAACTCACTGACATATCTTTGCCCAATCTGTATCCTGATCTAGCTGTCCAAATAATTTTCAGAATAAGACTAAACTTTATTCACAATGTTTAGTGAATAACAGTTTTTTTTTATCTTGCATCCCTTCACAGAGGTCTTTTGTATGACAGTGTATAATATTTTTGTCTCAAACCTATTATAGAGGTTAGTAGGTTAAAAGCTCTGGGATGATAATTTTGTAGTTTATCATCACAAAACAGTACATTTAATATTCCAGTCCATGTAATTACACCTGCTAGGGTTTTACCATTGCTCCACCCAGAGTCTGTGAATAACACGGTGTTTTTAGAGACAACCATACATAAGACAAACACATAAAGGAATATATTGGCTCTAGAGAAATCAGTCCAATTGTTCCAGCACTACAAGGGTATAGCTGATACAAAGTAAACATCTGTAAATGTGACATCTGAAGCAAAAGATTCCCAGGCATTTTGCCACTGATTCACATTTCCAGATATCACAGCAGCTAAAGTTAAAGCTACCATCATTCTTCTTTTATTAAAATGAGCAATCAAACAAACCGAACTTTTAAGGAGATCTGATGACCTAAACCAGTGTTTATGTAAGTCCATCATTACCATGAAAACTCTATGTCTGTGGATGAGCTGCACATAAATGGCAGGGAAATTTTAAAAGAATTAAAGCTTCCAGGACTTCCCATTTGCACAGACCACATGGCTAGGTCAAACCCAAACTGCCACAGAAAGCCAGCAAGCAAGGGCTCCCTGGAGGGCAGGCCAGCTGGAGCTGGTGAGTGAAACCTCCGGGCAGATCCTGCTCTAGAGGGGCGGCACACGTGAGCAAGAAGGAGACTAGAGCAAAATCGCGCGGCCTGATTTTCACATCACGTCGGTTTATAAAGACAAAAGTGCTCTTAGGTAAAGGACGCGAGGCTTAGCAACGCAAAGCTAGTCCAGGGTGTTTTCCTTTATTCTTTCAGAGAATTGTTTTTATATTTTTATTGGTTTTACACACCTTCCCTCTAGCTGTGCATTTAAGTGAGATACTATAAGTTAACTGTACCTTCAAGAAATCAGCATAGAGCAGGCTCGGACGACCAGAACAGAAACAAAACCAGACAAACCCCATAATTTTTAAGAGCTGAAGCGTCAGCCAAGGACGCCTGCTCTCAGCCGGGCCCGGGTCCTTTCCGAAAGGGTTGCCACGAGTCCCTCAGGTGTTTTCACTCCACTACTCCTGCCTGGGTGCATCGCCAGTGCAAGAAAATGCGGGAAGCGTCAGTTGCCAGGAACATCTGGACCTCCAAGGAAAATGCATACGGTCTTGCTAGGAAAAGTCTCCTTTCTCCGGGTGCGCTCCCCCTTCCTCAGGCTTATCCCTCTTTCTCCGTAGTTTTCGAGGCGCCCCTCCTCGCGGGCACCTCCTTCTATCTCCGGGCACAGGATTCCAGAGTCGCCACCGGCGCGCGCGGGCCAGGGGAGCCGCGAGGACACCAGGGGTTGCCAACGCCAAACAGTGCGCAGACTCCGCGGCGCGCTCCGGGCTCTCCACTCGCCTAAACCTGCTCTCAAGTGAAAAGAGGTGGGAGGAGGGGGGGGGGCGGAGGGGATCTTGTTTAATTCGAGGTCCTGGGGGTGTGGGAGCGGGAGGAGGCTCGCTGGTCCCTCCCTCCCGGAGTCCCGGGCTCCACCTCCTCCGCATGCCCCCAGATATACACACACGGCGCGGCTGGACATGCACACCCAGCGCCGGCTCCGGGCGCGTGCACACGCAGGTAGCGACGCTCACCTGAGCCGGCGCCGAGGGCTCCTGCAGCCTCCGGAGCGGAGGGGCGGCCTGGGCCGGGAAGGCGCCCACTGCGCAGCGGGAGTGGGGAGCGGCCCCAGCTCGGACCTGAGAACTGAGGTGATGGCGCATTTTCTTTAGATCTCCTCTTCCAGCCTGCCCGCCCCGTGCCCGCTCGCCTGTGCCCGGAGAGGCGAGGAGCGAGGAGCCCCGGGCGCGGCGCACGGGCGGGCACCCGCTCCAGGCGAGCGCGCGGAGAGCTGCGCGGCGGCGCCGGCGCAGGAAACTTGGGCGAAGTTAGTGGCAAGTGCGAGCGGCGGCCGAGAGGAGCGAGCAGGGGACGCGGCCGGTGCCCGGCCCGCCGAGCCGCGCCGAGGCGGAGCCGCCCCCGAGCCCGGCGCGCCCCGGGAGCCCGAGTCAGCCGGCGCGCCCGGAGGGGCCCGGAGCGAGCGGAGCCGGCATGGCGCGGGGGACAGCGAGACGCGGCGCCCGGGCGAGCCGGGAGGCTGTCCTCTGAGGCCCGGCGACCCCAGGCTGGCTCTGGCCGCCTCCGACCTCCTTCCTCGCCCGGCAGCCGGAGAGCAAGACCCGCCAGGCAGGTGCTGGGGTGCGGACCCCTCCCCCCACCAGCCCGCAGCCGATCGAGGGGGTCCCCACCATCGCGCCCGACCCAGGACCAGGAAGACCGGCCGGCGCTGCTGCATTTGCTTTTCTACCCGCTGCGGCGCCCTGCGTCCTGCTGGTGCGCCCGGACCCTCCTCTGCTCCCCCTCCTGTTCCCCCTCGGGGGCCACCTCTGCTCCCCCCACCCCCCTCGGCTACTGTCAAATGAGAAAGTCACCGCGGAGAGTCCAAACACTCCAGCGGCCGAGAGCCCCTCTTGGCACTTGGCAGCGCGCGGCGGCCGGCTCCTCGACTCCACTTGGCGGAGCCTGCGCCCCGCAACTTTCCGGGCTGCTGTGCGTTTGAGAGAGGAGCGCGCGCGCCGGGGCGCGCCGGGCCGGGCAGCGGCTCCCCGCGGGGCGCCAGCGAGCACGCGCCACCTGGGAGCCAGGACCGAGAGCCCCGGGCCCAGTGCCGCCGCGGGGTGGGGGCGCCGCCGCGGAGTCCGCGAGCCCCGGGGAGGACCGGCCGGAGCGCGCGCCGGAGAGACCGGGGCAGCCGGGGGCGCGGCGCGGCCCTGGGCCGGTCCCCAGCCGCCGCCTCGTCCCGGAGGCCAGAGCCGCCGGGGCGCCCAGCGGGGCGCGGGCGGGCAGCTCGGGCGCCCGCGGGCAGCCAACATTGATTTCCTGCGGGCGGAGCGCGCGGGCCCGGGCGGCGGCGGGCCGCAGCCGCAGCCCGGCGAGAGCATGTCCAAGCCGGTGGACCACGTCAAGCGGCCCATGAACGCCTTCATGGTGTGGTCGCGCGCGCAGCGGCGCAAGATGGCCCAGGAGAACCCCAAGATGCACAACTCGGAGATCAGCAAGCGCCTGGGCGCCGAGTGGAAGCTGCTCACCGAGTCCGAGAAGCGGCCGTTCATCGACGAGGCCAAGCGCCTGCGCGCCATGCACATGAAGGAGCACCCCGACTACAAGTACCGGCCGCGCCGCAAGCCCAAGACGCTGCTCAAGAAGGACAAGTTCGCCTTCCCGGTGCCCTACGGCCTGGGCGGCGTGGCGGACGCCGAGCACCCGGCGCTCAAGGCGGGCGGCGGGCTGGGCGCGGGCGCGGGCGGCGGCCTGGTGCCCGAGTCCCTGCTCGCCAACCCCGAGAAGGCGGCGGCCGCTGCAGCCGCGGCCGCTGCGCGCGTCTTCTTCCCGCAGTCGGCGGCCGCAGCCGCAGCCGCGGCCGCAGCCGCGGCCGCGGGGAGCCCCTACTCGCTGCTCGACCTGGGCTCCAAGATGGCAGAGCTGTCGTCCTCGTCGTCCGGCCTCCCGTACGCGTCGTCGCTGGGCTACCCGGCCGCGGGCGCGGGCGCTTTCCACGGCGCGGCGGCGGCTGCTGCAGCAGCTGCGGCGGCCGCCGGGGGGCACACGCACTCGCACCCCAGCCCGGGCAACCCCGGCTACATGATCCCGTGCAACTGCAGCGCGTGGCCCAGCCCCGGGCTGCAGCCGCCGCTCGCCTACATCCTGCTGCCCGGCATGGGGAAGCCGCAGCTGGACCCCTACCCCGCGGCCTACGCCGCCGCGCTATGACCCCGCGGGCCGCCCCGCGAGGACCGGCGAGCCCACGCGCGCGTGTGTAGGTACGAGCGCCGCGCCTGGCCCTGCGCCCCCCGCGCGCGCGCCGGGGCCCGGGTGGTGCGCGCACAAGGCGTGGAGGTGCCAGGCCGGGGCCCGGCCGGGGCGCGCGGGGCGGAGCGCGCGAGGGTGCGCGCGGGTTCCCAGGACCTGGAGACCCGCGCTGCGCGGCCGCCTCGCGGGGACGGCCGTGGTGCCCGCAGCGGCTGGTGTTGGCTTTGCACTTGGAAACCTGTTGCGTTTGGGCCCACCGAGGTGGAGGAGCAACTTTTTGACCTGTTGGGCTTTTCCAGTTTTCTCTGTTGGAAGTTTATTGTCGGTTTTGTTTCTGATTCTCCTTCTCGCTCCTTTGTTATTATTAGTTTTTTTGGGTTTCTTTTTTTTGCTTTCTGTTCTGTTTTTGTTGTTGTTACCCCAGGTCCGTGTTGCATGCACTCTGTTCAAATGTTAGGTCTGAAATGGCTGGCACGAGGGAAAAGCTGATCTGTGTGGTGAGATTCTCGGAGCGGGAGGGCTCCGAGCACCCTTGGTCTCCATTTGTACTATTTGAACTTTGCAAATAAGCTGTTCTCTCAAGCAGAACCCCCAGGCCGGATCCCTTCTTGACCAGTGACCGGCTCGGATCTGCCCTTTTGTACGTGAGATGATCACGATTTCTTTTGTTTATCACGCCATATGCAAATCAGAGCAAGAGCTCTTTCTCAAAACCAAGGAAAGGAAACAAGAAATGTGTGTGAGCTGAAATGTTGTCAATTGGACTTTCTCCTCTAAAAAAAAACAAAAAACAAAAAAACAAAAAAACCAAACACCCTACCTAGAAGTCTCGCTTGCAATTCTGACGCAGTTTACAAAAAGGGAAAAGACACGGCTCCTGTTCCCCCTTATTGCTGAGTTTCACCTTAAGATTGTAAATGTGTATATGTCCTTGAAAACATCGAGTCTTTGAAAATGTATTATTTGCGTTGTCCTAAATTTGAGTCCGTTTTAGACTCTGAAGCATTTCGAGCAAATGTCAAAGTTAACTTTTAAAAATTGCGCGACTGTTTCAGAACCGCAATTTAGTCAAAGATTTAATCAGACTTTTTTTGTCTGAGCGGTAATTATATATTTATTATTTAGCAAAAGTGAAAAAACCCTGCAGAACTGTTTTGACAGATGCCTGTCATTTTCAGCTAGCATTTCTCCATCGACTTGAACCATTTAAATGTGTTTTGGAGTTCCCTCCCCCAATTAGCTTATTTTTTAGATCACCTGCAATTCATTTGCAAAATTATGATAAAACACATTTGAGAGCAAAGAACCTTCCTCAATTACAGCTTTTTTGGTTTCTTTTAAATGTATATATTTTGACTAATGTTTGTGAATGAAGTTGGCTAACCTGTATTTAGTTTCCTTTTGGCTTTATGTAATATAAAGTTTTAAAAAGTTTAAGTATTGGTTTTAACCTTTATGTGTAAATGGTTTTCTTGTGTGATCTTCTAATTTAATATTAGACGTCTAAACTATATCTGTAAATTAGAATCCGACTATCACTCTGTTCATTTTTTTGAACAAAGAGTTTAAATAAAGCCTGAACCAGGGAAAAGAGAAAATCCTCTATTTCTTGTTGAGTTCCTAACAAGATTTTTATCTGAATTGCCCTTACGTGCCTGCTCCAGGTGAAGTGTAAGGTATCCTCCAAAGACAGCCTTTGTTTCACTTTTGAATAGATTTACTAGGAAATCTAAATCAAGCCATTGTTATTCAGAGCCAAAAACCTGATTTATCACATTTTCAATCGTGAATAGGAAAGAAGATAAAAAAAAAAAAAAAAACCCAAGTAGTTGTATTATCTTGGGGGGGAAAAAAAAAGGCATTCATGAACCAGTAGAACAGAGCCCATTGAAAACATCCAGACTTTTCAAAGCATCTCACCAGTTTCCAGTAACATTTTAAGAGGGGAAAGTTGTCTGACCACTTTATCTTCTTGGTAGGAGAGCCCACCACTTAAATCAGTGTAATTTGCTCACATATCTTTGGCATATTCCTGTTTACACCTGAAGATTTTCTTGGGAAGTGTAATCACTACTAATGACAGTGCTTAACTTTTGGTCTCTTCAGGGCTTTGTTAATAACGAATGGTATTAAAATAGAAATAGAACAAATTCTAATCAAGAGGGCTTACATTTCCAGAGCTATGGTTTTCCAAAGGCGAAAGGTTTGAAATCATAAAAGTTTTAGTTTTAGAAAAGTGATAAGGCATCTGGGACAAATATCAGGGTGGTGGTGGGGGAAAGTCACTGCCAGGAGGTCTTTATTTTCCCCCACGGAGACAGAAAATTCTCCAGATCCAATTCTTAACTACTCCTCAGTGAGTTTTCCCATTGACAGAGCTCATCTTGGAGCTGCACGTCTTTATAAGAGACCCAGCTCTTTAAAATCCCTGTTTTCCCCCCAACGGAATAATATTTTAAAAACCATGAAAAGTTTGGAAATGTGAGAAATAGGCAGTGCGGGTTTGACCCTGATTCACTAATTAAAACGATCCCTCTCCTGTTATTCCCCGAGCTCTTTGCAATATTATAAGTTAATTCATATGGTTCTGAGCGATTATGCAAAACTAATTTGGACTGTCCAGGGGTAATTATCCCTGACACGGTTAATTAAATCCTTTCAAGCCTTCGTCTCTCCCTTTTGTAGCAGCCCATCACTTCTCAACACGGAACTTCCTGCGGCTCGCTGGAAATCACCCCAGCCCTAAATCTTCGTTACCTCCCCGAGCCTCTAGCTCAGCCCCACCGGCCTGAAGATTCCCCGCCCTCCCCCCCCCCCCCTCCCCTGTTCTCAAAGATCAGAGTTTTCTGGGAAGAAACGCTCCGGGAGTGTTGATAAAAGGGAAGAGGACTGGGTAAGGGGATGGGGGTGGGTGGGGGGTGGATGCCAGCGGGGAGCGCACAGGGTCACCTCGGTCCACAGGCCCTGGGGTGACTGTCACCTCCCTGACTCCAGTGGTCTGGCTAACGAGTTGGCGAGTTTTGAGCCTGGGGAAACCTCCCGCCTGGTTAGACGCAGCTGGAATTCAGGGGGTGGGGTGGGGGGCGGGGGTAGGGGCGACTCTGGGGCCGGACGGTGCGCAGCGAGGACTGGTGGGTCCGGAGGGTGCGCAGCGAGGACTGGTGCATGCAGAGGCTAGAACGGGACCCCCAGCTGCAGCACTGGGGCTAGGCAAGACCTGCTGCGCTCCCTCCTCTCCTCTCCTCTCCACACTTTCTCCTCCTTCCCCACTGTCCCTTTCTTTTCTCCCCCTTTCGCCCCATCGCGCCCCCCTTTTCTGCTCTCCACCCACTCTTGTTTCGTTCTAAGGTTTACAAAACACCCTCCAGGTCGTTTCTTGAGTGGGCACGGCCGCCCAAGGGCCAGAACAGAACCCTCCCCTCGCGGGGGCCCGCGGGGGTGCCACGGGGCTTTGCGCAAACAGGTGGACGCGAGGGTGCCGTTCGCGCCGCGAGGACGCGGGGGCCGGCGCGGGGCGCGGGGCGCGGGGCGGCTTCGGGGGAGCGGAGGCGCGGGCCGCTCTCCTCGCTTCATCCGACGCGTTCCTCCTGCCCCTCCCGCGAGAGAATCGCAGCGGACCGCGCGCGCCCCGGGCTCGGCGCCGGCTCCGGGCGGGTCCCGGGTCCCCGGGCCCCGGGCAGGGCGGCCCGCGCGGCAGCCAATCAGGGCGCGGCTCGGCGCGGGCGTCCCCCCGGGGCCGGCCACTGCCCGCCGCGCCCGCCGGTGCCCGCGGCTGCTCGCGCCCCGCGCCGGGCGCAGGCGGGGACCGCGCGCCCCACTTTATTAATGTCTCCCCTGCTCCGGCTCCCCCCAGCCCGGTGCATCTCAAAGGTCAACCCTCTCCTTTTAAAGGACTGATATTATTAATTCACTGACAATCCCACCCCCTCCCCGCTGCTTTTTCTCTCTCTCTGGCTGGAAAAAAAGAGGGAAATAGTGAAAAGAGCTTTTTTTTTTTTTCATCTTTTTTTTTTTTTTTTTTTTTTTTTGTCCTTCAGTGGGAGCGTTTAGACAGTCGAGGAGGTTTTGTCCGGGAACAAAACGCAGGGTTGGGAGGTTTTGTGAGAGTGTTGTTTGTTGAAGTGGAGCTAAGAAAAAGCGGCGGCTTTCTCCTCATTGTGAAGAAACCAATCAGTGGTATTTGGAAAACTGTTAGCATTGTGCACTTCTTCTGTGTCCATTGTGAGGCGTTTCTTTTCACAAGGTTTTTTTTTCAGCCGATCCAGCTGGCCGGAATGAATAGCGGCGCGATGTGTACACGCTTTGTCCCTCCGGCCTTCAAGTAGCCCCCATTGAATAGACTAAGTTGACACTGCGTGACAGTGAAACAACATAATAAAAAATACATGAGCCCCTGAATAGGAGCAGGCGCATAAATAAATAAAATGGGTGACCAAAACTGGATAAACTGAATGACAAAACGGTGAAAGGGGAACAAAAAGATATTTAACACGCTAGATTAGCATTAGAATGCGATCTACAAGGCAGAACAATTGATGAATAGGTTTACCGGCCAAGAAAGAAATGGACTAAATGCCCTTTGAATAGATATGCTTTTTGCAAGGGCTTTGAATAGATATGCTTTTTGCAAGGGCTGAATGGGAAAAGGTAAAGATGAAGCTATGCAAATGAGCCGGGGAACTTTTTATATATATTCTTTAAACACACACGCAGGGCAGCCGAAGAGGACTGCCTCGGGATGTTTATAGAAGCAATAATTGCCATTATTAGCATTGTCTGCTGCAGATAGAAATTGAACAGGTTGGGGTAATATAGGGTAGCGGTAATTATTCTTCTAATTAATGGTCCTTTTCTACTTGAGAAAAGGAAAAAGGAAAGGCGAAGGAAAAGTTAGGCAGAAGTTATGTCTCGGGGTGTCCCTTCACCCAGCGCTGGAATCCGCGGCGCTGGCAAGTCCGGTG